GGAAGCCAAGACTCAGCCTTGCTATGTGGAAGCTACAGAGAGGCCTCTACCAAAGGGCCTGCCCTATGCTGCCCACAGAGAGGCACTGCTTTTACTTTGGACTAAACAGAAACACTGCAATCTGGCAGCAGGCCAAGACTGCTATGAACTGAAGAACTGTTGAGACCCACAGGTTGAGAACCACTGATTTAGAAGGACAAACTTACAGTTCTCAACTTGTTAAAACAGCTTTGCCATTCAGAGTCCCAATGTGAAAAGCCAAATTTTTTGTTTGTTTGTTTGTTTGTTTGTTTCAAGACAGCATTTCTCTGTAGCTTGGGAGCCTTCCTGGAACTTGCTCTGTAGACCAGACTGGCCTCAAACTCACCTGCCTCTGCCTTCAGAGTGCTGGGATTAAAGGCGTGCACCACCACTGCCTGACTCAGTTTGGTTTCTTGAGAATATGTATGGATTTTTTTTTCTTTTAAAAATCTCTTTTGTGCCTTGGTCTGCACTTAATACAAAGAATTACTAGTTGTGTGAAAAGAGGGTGCATCGCTCAAGAGCTACTCACATCCTGACCCAGCGCTTCCATGATGCCAGTTGCACCTGAGGTCTTGTCTGCGACTCTTATTCTATTAAGGTTTTATAAAATGGGACCAGCAAGATGGCTCAGCAGTTAAGAGCACTGACTGCTCTTGCAGAGGATTTGAGTTCAATTCTCAGCACCCACACGGCAGCTCACAGTTGTCGGTAACTCCAGTCCCTGCTGAGCCGATGGCCACTCAGACACTGCGTCTACATGAGGCACAGACATACAGTCAGTCAAAACATCCATAGCTATAAAATAAAAAGATTTTTTTTTAATTTTGAAAAATGATAGTATTCTAGCAGGACTCGTCCTAATTATTACTTACAGTGGTCTTATAAAGAGAAACGTTTTCATCATCGATGATTTGGGTTGCCCTGAGATACAATTTGAAAAGGAAATTGCTGCCTACTGTTTGGAGGTTTGTCAGGGTTGAATGAGCACAGGAAAAGAGGCAAGTCTCAGAGGAACAGCTGTGCTCCTCAGGAAGCTAGCCGTCCAGGCATCGGGTGCTGGGTGCGGGCACTGACTCCCCCCCCCCCCTCCTCTGTCCTCGTTGCTACGCAAGGACCGTCAGCCCACTGCTAAGACCCTAGTCTCTGCCTCACAGTTAGCCTTCCCTGCATGCTCTCCTGTCTTGTGACCCAGCTCTGCCCTGACTCCCTCCTTCAGCTCTTCAGCATGGAACCCACCTTTAAAGTTCTTGAGTTCCTAATGGACCTAGTAAGGCGCAGAGCCCTGGTCAGGTTATTAAAAAGTCACTGCATATAATCCAAGGAGATAAACTACTCATTTATCCTAACGGTCCTCCAAAGCACTCTACAGTATCTGTCTAAAGCAGTTTTTCTGTGGGTTGCAACCCATTTGAGGGTCAAATGGCCCTTTCACAGGGGTCGTCTAACACCATCAGAAAACACAAATATTTAGATTATAATTCATAACAGTAGCAAAATTATAGTTACAAAGTAACAATGAAAATAATTTTATGGTTCGGGTTCCCCACCACATGAGGAACTGTATTAAAGGGTCACAGCGTTAGGAAGGTTGAGAAGCACTGGGCTGGAGCATCTTGATGGAGTATCATAGTGGAAAAGGCACAATAGGAGCAGGAGCAGCTGGTCACATGACATGTGCAGTCAGGAAACGCAAAGAGAATTCTGGTACTCAGTTATGTTTTATTTTGATTTATTTTATATGCTTGAGTGGTTTTCCTGCATGCATGCCTGTGTGTCATGCATTTGCCTGGTCCCTGTGGGGCCGGAAGAGGTCGCCGGGTTCCCTGAACCCGGACTTACTGTGAGCTGCTGTGTCAGTTCTGGGCCCTTTCTCCATCCCCTCTTTTTTTTTTTTTTAATATTTATTTATTATGTATACAATATTCTGTCTGTATGCCTGAAGGCCAGATGAGGGCGCCAGACGACTTTACAGATGGTTGTGAGCCACCATGTGGTTGCTGGGAATTGAACTCAGGACCTTTGGAAGAGCAGGCAATGCTCTTAACCACTGAGCCATCTCTCCAGCCCTCCATCCCCTCTTTTTAAATGATTCTGGAACCACAGCCCAGGTCATGGTGCTGCCCACCCTCAGGACTGGTCTTCCATACTCAGTTATACCTTTCTGGAAACACCTTCACAGACTTAGCCAGAGGTGTTTTTCCATGATTCTAAACTGGGTTGACAGTGATGATGAACTAGCCCATCCATCCCCAGTGAGATTGTTTCATAGTTCCTTAATTCTGTGGATCCTTTTGTCGCATTCTATGGTGGTATATTATTTGTGTTTTAATAAATAAAGCTTGCCTGAAGATCGGAGGGCAAAGCAGCCACGCTAGTCAGCCTTACAGGCCAGGGAGTGGTGACACTCACCTTTAATTCCAGAACTCTCTGTGAGTTCAAGGCCACCCTGGGCTACACAAAGTCCAGAAAGAGATCCAGCTCGCGTCTTTAATCCCAGTGTCCCAGCTCTAGGGAGGAGGAGATAAGAGCGATATGGTTGGGCAGCGAGAGGAATATAAAGGGGAAGAGACAGGAACTCAGTGGAGTGAGGAGTCTGAGGATTCCTGGAGACAGGATCTCACCCTTTTGGTCTGAAGATTTGGTAGAGATAAAAAGTCTCTCTAGTGCCTGGCGGTGGTGGTGGCGCACGCCTTTAATCACAGCACTCGGGAGGCAGAGGCAGGCGGATCTCTGTGAGTTCGAGGCCAGCCTGGTCTACAAGAGCTAGTTCCAGGACAGGAGCCAAAAAGCTACAGAGAAACCCTGTCTTGAAAAATCCAAAAAAAAAAAAAAAAAGTCTCTCTAGTGGTTGGCCTCTTTGCTTCTCAGCTTGAACCCCATATCTGTCTCTGGGTTTTTATTATTTGTGCTATAGCATTCTGTCTCCTGTGCTGGAACTTTGCACTTCCCCAGCAGTTTTCTGAATTTTTCACAGATTAACACCTACTCCCTGTGCTGGAGGTTTTGTGGGTTCTGACCAAGGCAGACGCATGTGCTCATCACCACAGTGTCGTGTGAATTGCTGCTCCGGAAGCCCCTGCTCTGCCTATCCAGCCTTGCTCAGCCTAAGTCCTTAGAACCACTTCTCTGTTCTTGCTGACTTGTCTGTCTTCTCTCTTTTTGCTTTGTTCTGAATATTATATACTTGGAATTATACAGTGTCTATAGGTTTTTCTGATTCCACAATATCTACTTCATATTCACTTGTAGCTTTTTTGTTGTTGTTGTTGTTGTTGTTTTGTTTTTGGAACTTATTCTGTAGACCAGGCTGGCCTCAAACTCACAGAGATCCGCCTGCCTCTGCCTCCTGAGTGTTGGGGTTAAAAGTGTGAACTACCACTGCCTAGTCTGTATCTTTGTATCATTTGATAGATCATTCTTCTTATTGCCAAATAACACTTTATTGTATAGATATACCACAACTTATCAACTGGCCTATTAAATGCCATCTTAGTTGCTTTGTTGTCAGTAATTATGGAATAAAATTACTATGAACATAATATTTTGTGTGGATGGGTATGTTTATCTTCGAATTATTTACATTGTAGTGTGTGTGTATGTGTGTGAAATGCTTGTGTGTGTGTGTGAAGGCTGTGTGTGTGAGATGGTTGTGTGTATGTGCCACAGCGTGTTCATGGGGTCAGAAGCCACCTTTCCCCCCTCCCACCCTGTTGCCCTGTCTATTGAAGACCAGCTGGCTAGTGTACTTCTGACTGAGGCCCGTCTCTGTTTCCTGCCTTCTGCAGGAGGCTGGGATTAGAGATGCGTACTGTCACATCTAGGTTTTCTACTGATTTCCGGGGAAGGAGCGCAGGTTGTCAGGATTGCAAGGCAAGTGCTTTTATGAACTGGCCAGGCCCTCTCAGCTCAGCTGTTTAGGTAGCGTTGGAAGGAACTATCTTTGTCAGCTTGATTTGGAACAAAGAAAGGGAGGGAGGGAGAAAGGAAGGGAGGAGGGGAGGAAGGAAGGGAGGAAATGAGAAAGGGAAGGAGAAAAGGAGGGAAAAGGAAGGAAGGGAGAGAGGGAGGGAGGGAAGGAGGGAGGGAGGAAGGGAGGGAGAAAGGAAGGGAGGGAAGGAGGGAGGGAGGAAGGGAGGGAGGGAGGGAGCTCCAGGGTTAGTGGGAGACTATCTCAAATAAAGCGGAGACCTATGGAGGAAGACAGAGACATTGACCTTGGGCCTTCAGGCTTGTACACACTTGTGCATGCTTGCATGTCTGAGCATGGACACACACACACACACACACACACACAACTATCTATGAACATCCACCGACACTTGGCTTACACCTCTGTGCCAGACACAAAGTGCATTATCCCACCGTGTGACACCCACTATTCCTCTATGTATGTCTATGCTTCTAGAGGCTCCCACAGGGGGGCTCTTGCCTATCCTCTGCAACCTAGCCAGGGCAACCCCATCTCAGCCATTCGCAGGGGATTCTGCTTCCAGCCCATGGCTTCCTCTGCCAGCACAACAGGCTGACATTCTAAGGTGACTTCAACAATCTTTACCTCCTTGTCTCAAAAAAAAGTGGGTGGTGGAGCTGACAAGAGGGTTCATGCAGGTAAAGGCCTTTGCTGCAGAATCCTGACAACCTGAGCTCAGTACCCAGAGCCCACACACAGTGGAAGGAAAGCACTGACTCCTAAAGTTGCCTCTGACCTCCACATACACTCTGTGTCTCTGTCTCTCACACACATAGCAAATAACTTAAAAATTATATATATAATTAAAATACTAGCATGGTAAGTAGGTGAATGGCATCTAAGGAATAAGAGTGAGAGTCGCCCTCTGGCCTCCACTGCACAGGCACACAAGTGCCACATATACCTGCACACACAAGTGCTCCCGCACACAAACACACACTCACACAAAGAAAAATGAGTAAAAATAGGAAAATGTGCTTTTTAAGATCTTTCTAAAATTCTTTAATGAGTAGTCATGAAAAGAACAACTTGAGCCAAGGAGTCCTGAGCATGCTAATGAGCTACTTTAGGACAACAAATACTAATCCTATAGAAAGTGTTAAGTCAAAGTAGTTTACTTCAAATATAGGGACCTGAATAAAGAACGGGAACACACTGGATTATTTAGGGAAGGTGTTTTGTGACGATAGGGTTGTCATGACCAAGTCCAGCGTGTCCTCAATCATTGCGTTATTCCTCTCTATCACGAAGGAATTCCTTCCACTCTGTTTCCCATTTTCTTCTGATTCAAGGGGCAGGAGAGTATGAGGGTTGAACAGATGTCGAGGCTCCCCCAAGATGCCAACTCTGTAAAGAGAATTATTGCCATAGTTAATAGACTGTGATTCCCAGTTGTGTTTGTGACTGTGATTGCCAGTTCTCCCAGTTCTGTTCTGTGATAACCACACACACACACACACACACACACACACACACACACATTAAAGCTAAGACATACATTTATTTAAAAAACCAGACCTGTTTCCATTCCACCATTGTGGTCTTACATACTAGCTCGAAACTGAATCTTAGCAAGATTCTGCCCTGGCTGTACCCACATCTCCCTAAGATGAATACTTAGAATAGACCCTCAGCTCTAAGAAGTCTGGCCCTCTCTTTTCAGGCTACAATTATTGAGAATCTAGCACAGCTTCTAGGATTTTTTTCTCTCATCCAGATGGGCCTCAGTGGAGACCTCTGGTCAGGGAGTCAGGGGTTGGCAGGGGAACAGAAGCTTTCTCAGTACCTGAGCCCCTGGCCCTCCCATCCCCACCAGGAGGCACCACCCACGACTCTGCTGTGATTTTCCTTGGGCCACTCACACGGGCATGGCCACAGACTCCAGACTTGTTGTGCCCTTCTGCATTCGGGGTGGCAGTTTGATGCCTGCCACATACTTTTTTTCAACGATATGTTGAGCTTTTTCTCTGAGAGATGGCAGCAGTGTAGACAAGACTGGGGAGCGCATGTCCACAGCCTTTTTAATTGCTGGACGTTTTGCCATCATTTTCCTGTGGGATGGAGGGAGACAGTCACCTTAGTTACGTTGTCCTGCTTCTTACAAACGTCCTTAAGCGGAGGAAAGGTCCAATGGTCACAGCTGAGTCGGATGCCATGGGCAGGTTTGTGGCCCAGCTACTTAGGATTACAAGTTTGGGGCCAGTCTGAGCTACACAGAGAGACTTCTCTTAAAAACAAAACAGAGGAAATAAGTGAGAGGTCCTACCGAAACTGTACCAATGTCATGCGCTTCTTCTCTCCTCCTGATTCTTCATCCTCGCGTTTCCTTCGGGGAATGTTGAACATATTGGTACGAAAAAGCCTCCCTACTTCTTCCTCAATCTCTGTCAGGTACTGACGTCGGAACACAATCCAAGCTATGTATGTACAGAAAGTATAAAAGGACTGAAAGAGAAAACAGAGGAATCACAAAGCCCAGAAATGCTATGAAAACTTCCCCGCAGTCCCCATTGTATCTTAGGTAGACAAAAACCCGGATGACCCAACGGCTTGACATCCCTGGAAGCTGTGTGGATTGATCTGTGTGCTCACACTTATGGATGGAAAGGCAGGCCAAAATTCTAGGGCATAACAAACGTTATCATCCTTTTTAAAAAGGATATCTGAGCCGGGCGGTGGTGGCGCACGCCTTTAATCCCAGCACTTGGGAGGCAGAGGCAGGCGGATCTCTGTGAGTTCGAGACCAGCCTGGTCTACAAGAGCTAGTTCCAGGACAGGCTCCAAAACCACAGAGAAACCCTGTCTCGAAAAAACCAAAATAAATAAATAATAAATAAAAAGGATATCTGTTAAAAAGGTGTGCCTGCCAAATGGCTACTTGTCATTGTTGTGTGTTATTGTTTTCATAGAAAACGAAAAGTCCCCAAAGCAAGAGGCTTACCTCAAAGAATTTCCAGTCTTTTTGCGTGTCTGAGACTTTATCCCTGAAAAATAACAAATCCCAGCTGTAGGTGATAAGTTTATCACACATAAAATGTGGGATTATGACTGGTAGCTCTATTAGAATTTGGACCTGGAATGTCCTGAGGCCATAGGTTTGGTCATTAGGAGGTGGTGGGGCCCGGGCGGAGGAAGTAGGTCACTGGGAATGGGCCCTGCCAGGCGGCCCTGTCTCTGGGTTCTTCCCCTCTGTCCACTCCCAGGACATAGCAGTTTTTCTCTATCATGCCCCTGACCACAAAACTCTTCCTCACCACAGGCCCAGAACATACTAAGACCTTCACACTGGTTATATTTCATCCTTCTACGCTCCTCGTGAGGGAGTCAGCACTGTGATTTCTACATTACATGGAGGAAGCTGATGTTGAGCTTCAAGTTCAGTTCTCTCTCTGTATTTCCATGGTGCTAAGCAGGGACCTCTCATCTTTCCACTGATGGCCGCTCCTACCCCACATACTCCTCATACACCTCTTTTGCTGGATGAGCACTGAGTGTGTGTTAAATACATCAGATTTGTGTGTGTGTGTGTGTGTGTGTGTGTGTGTGAGTGTGTGTGTACTTTGTTGTAGTTTATATTTAAAGAGAGAGACAAGAGCTGGGCAGTAGTGGCGCACGCCTTTAATCCCAACACTTGGGAAGCAGAGGCACGTGAATCTCTGTGAGTTCAAGGACAGCCTGGTCTACAGCGCAAGTTCCAGGACAGCCAGGACTGTTACACAGAGAAACCCTGTCTTAAAGAGAGAGAGACAGGCAGACAGAAAACAAAGTTGGATGGATAGCGAGGTAGGAAGGATCTGGAAGGAATTGGAGAAAGGGAAACATGATAAAAATATATTGTATAAAAAACATTTTCGATAAAAATGTTAACTATTAAAAATACAGAATGCACCCACGCATTCTTTAAAGCTATGCTATTCATATGCGCAGGATCTATCATTCATTGTAGAGTTCTGTTCAAAACAGAAACACCGATCAATAAAATTCAATATAAACTTCCCAGGTTGGATTAAAATACTAGAAAATTTCAAAATCTTATAAACAAAAAATTCTGTAAATGAGAAAAAAATCACTAATAAGTAGTATTGGAAAATAGAATATTAGTAAAGAAAAATTATCTTAGATTCATTGTTCACCTGATGTATTTGACACATTTCAAATGGATCAAAATGTAGCATTTTTAATGTGTTTTTTAAATATTTATTTGTTATATATACAATATTCTGTCTGTGTGTATGCCTGAAGGCCAGAAGTGGGCGCCAGATGGTTGTGAGCCACCATGTGGTTGCTGGGAATTGAACTCAGGACCTTTGGAAGAGCAGGCAATGCTCTTAACCACTGAGCCATCTCTCCAGCCCCCTTTAATGTGTTTTTTAAACTAAGAAAGAGGCCGGGCGGTGGTGGCGCACGCCTTTAATCCCAGCACTCGGGAGGCAGAGGCAGGCGGATCTCTGTGAGTTCGAGGCCAGCCTGGTCTACAAGAGCTTGTTCCAGGACAGGCTCCAAAACCACAGAGAAACCCTGTCTCGAAAAACCAAAAATAAATAAATAAAATAAACTAAGAAAGAAAGATGAATAGTTTAACCCAGGAAGAACTTGTATGATTATCAAACAGTATCAGAAATAAGCTAGACAAATTCACATGGATAAAAGGGCAAACTGTTTTCCTAATGTATATCAGTTGCAGAAAACAATGAAGCAGAACACATGGCCAATCTTGCTATGTATGGGACACATAAAATCTCTACAAATTCCCATCTCTTCCTTAGTAAAGACTAAAACTAAGTAAGTATATAACCAGATAAGACACCTTGTAGCTTTATATATCTTAACTTTAAACTTTCAAAAGAATTTGTCATAAACCCCAAGATAGCCAAGTGAACTTAGAGTGGTTGGTAATAAAAGATTTCCTTTCTTTTCAAGACAGGGTTTCTCTGGCTGTCCTGGAACTCACCAGCTGGCCATAGAAGATTTCTAAGCCTTCATGAACTAAGGCTCCTGGTCCTATGTGTGGGAGGTCTGGAGAGAGCTCTGGAAGCTTCTGCTTTTTTGTTTGTGTGTTTGCTTATCTTTCGAGATGGGAGTATCACTGTGCTGCCCAGGTAGGTCTTCAAGAGATGCACCTGCCTCCGCCTCCCTGGTGCTTCACCTACACACCGTCCTGCCATTATCCAGTAGCAGATAACATGAACATTTAGCAGTTTGCACTTTCTAGTTAAACATGTTCTGGGTTATAAGTCATAAGGAATTAGCCCAAATGCAATTCGGATAAAGGTGTTCAAAGCAAAGAATAAGACAAAGAAGCTCAAATCATACACATATTACATATTCACAGAAAGAAGGGTGAATCAAGTGACTAGCACACACAACAGAACCCCTTTAACTGCTATTGAGACTACATACAAAGAATATATGGATAGAGAATATGTGTAAAGAATAGTGGATTGACTGGGTTCCCACACACAACAGCACACCTCCAGCTGCTACTGAGACTGTGTAAAAAAAAAAAAATCAAAGAAAGCACACAGGAAATGTAGGCATCCGGGACACTTGGGTCGACAGAGCTTCCTCGGAAGACAAGGAATGTCTTAGACTTCGTTCTTTTCCTGTGCTCAAGGTGTGGCTCTTGGACCACTGTGAAACTAACTACTCAGGCATTTCAGAGTCCACAACCAAAGCTCCCTATCCTGTAAGTCCAAACTTTCCTGTGCTGCGAGCCTCATTTAAGTTTTAGGAACAGTATGTAGGCATTGTCATCCTAAGGTCAAAACAACCCCCCCCCACCACCATCAGTTTCTCACAGACAGTGCTGTCTCGATGGTGGTCCTCACAGGTGCTAAGAGAAGCAGACACTCACTCCCCTGCAACACTAGCCATCACTTGATCTCCTTCCGAGACAGCCAAGCAACCCAGGTCATCAGGCTGAGCAGGATTCCACAGAGAGGACAAGTGATGTTGTCCCAAGATGGAGCAGAGTCTATAAAATGCCGGCCGAGCTGCTGGAATACCTTCCGTACTTACTTGGCTCTCTCAACACAGTTATCAATGGTACTTGGGGCGGATTCTCACGGGAGGGAACACTTCCTCAAGGGTACCAGGGACTAGGGACGTGCCGACCTAGGGCAGCAGAAGCGCATGCGTACTTTCCACAGTTCATGTGATGCTTATCCGCCATGCCGACGCCCAGCACGAGGATGCAGTACTTCTGTGCCAGGTACTTCTGCGCATCTTCTAACTTGCTCATAACCAGCTCTATCTCTTTTTTCTCTACCAGGCCTCTGGGGGCAGAGAAGGAGACAAAGATGATTAATTCTGGTGTAAGTCTGTGTTAATGAGCAAGAAATTAGAATTATAGGCTATTTTGAAAGAGATAGTGAGTCAACAAACTTGGCTCACCAATTTGACTTCCTTGAGTTTTGGCATTGGGAAACTCCTTAAAATCTCTCTCTTTTGAAAAAGATAGATTGGCTTTTATTTGTATGTTTTGCCCACATGTATGTTAAGTGTACTGTGTAGGTGCCTGGTGCCCACACAAGCAGAAGAGGGCACTAGAATAGGAGTTACGGATGGTTGGGAGCCACCATGTGGTGGCTCTACCTGAACTCTGGACCTCTGGAAAAGCGGTCAGTGCTCTTAACTGCCAAGCCATCTCCAGCCCCTCAAAGTCTCTTAGGGCTCTTAGTCACTGGAGTTAGCATCTCAAGCTTAGGGTCAATGTCACTTGGATAGATCCCTTATACTTGATGCTCTTTATAAGCTCCAACTATATTCCCAGCAAATCCTAATCTCTATAGAACACCCCAATAACAAGTTATCAGCCCTGGTTGCTGTGCCGCTGCCTGCTCTCATCCCCGCAGTTGCTAAAACACTTGTGGAGATTCTGCCACCGTAGTTCCCCCCACCCCCCCCCGAGGCCCTGGTGTTGCTGTTAAGTCAGGCAATCTGTGTCTGAATGCAAGCTGCTCCCTGTTCTGAGCTCAGCTCTGTTTGGTGGGGAAACCATTCACTGGCCACCACTCAGTGGATTTTGGCATAGACTATGAGCACATCACTTCCCTACAAAAACACAGCCCAGTTCTGATTGAATTGCAAATGAACTTTGCAAAAGCCATTTGTTCTTCGGTTACAGCAGGTCTGAAGTCTGATTTTAAGTGTTTGCAATACAACATGGTAGGAAAAAGTATTGTTGGCAATACTGCCAAGGGGCACTGGAAGGTGAGAGAAATGCGCTCTGAAGTGAATCTGGGCGGCGGTGGTGCATGACTTTAATCCCAGCACTCAGGAGGCAGAAGCAGGCACATCACTGTGAGTTCAAGATCAGCCTGGTCTACACAGGGAGATCTAGGGCTACACAGAAAATCCTATCTAGAAAAACAGAAAACAAAGAACAAAACAAAACAAAAAACCTATATGAAGACATGCTGTGAATGGAGAGGGGTAAGTTTAAGAACCTTTAAAAAGCAAGTTCCATGACAGCCAGGACTGATAGAGAAACCTTGTTTCAGAAACCAAAACCAAAACAAACAAACAAACAAACAAAAGCACGAAGTGTATCACAGGCAATGAAAGGCTTGTGGGTCACTGCAGTAAAGCGAGTTTCTGGAATAAAGAAAGTGGGCTTCAACTTTAAGAACCTAGATGTTGCTCAGTCCCAGATGTTGTACAGTCCAAACACATCCTCTACATGCAGACTGCAGGTTACATACCAGTACCGCCTGCCGGCCTCCTTCTGATGGCCCTCACCTTCCTTTGCCAGAGGTGCCACTAGCTAATCCTTTCCTTTACTATAGAAACCCAGCCAAACAGTGGTCAAGGGATGCTCTCCAACATCTGGACAGTGGTTCTCAGGTTTCACTCAATTCTGAAGGAGAACTATCCTGACTACTTGCTCCAGATACAGAGTCCCGATGTGACCCCATCTCCAGATTCCGGAGAGAGTCCAGGAAAAGTAACACAATCATTCCCACTGAATGTGAGGCCGGGAAATCCTTAGGGATGTACATAAGGAACCTGCGTGTTGGACTTTCAAAATGGCTCAACAGAAGCAGGTGCTTGTCAAGAAACCTGATGATGTTAGCTCAATTTCTGGGATCTACTTGGTGGGAGAACAGACTCCAGCAAATTGTCCTCTAACCTTTACACACACACACACACACACACACACACACACACACACACACACTAAATAAATGAAATGTAATTTTTAAAAAATTAACAAAAATAAAAAAGAACCTATGGCTGGAGGGACGAATCAGCAGTTAAGAGCACACTGTTCTGCCGGAGGACCTAAATTCCATTCCCCTGCAGCCACATGGCCCCTGACCTGAAACTCCAGAGGACCAGACTCCCCTGCTCTCCTAGGGTGTCTGTTCTCACATGCGCATACTGATATGTAGACACACAGCTACACACAGTTAAAACTAATACATGGTTTTAAAGTCCTGTTGAAGTGGAAAGAGGGGGGTAAGCTATGTAACCAAAGCCTAAGAAAAAATAACCTCAGTACAAACTTCTAGGCGGCGCTGGTCCACTGGCATCAATACTCTGTGCCTGAGTCGTTCCCCTCGACATTTTGGTGTTTTCACTTCTGCGACATTGCCTCAGGAATTGGAAAGGGGGACTGAGTATCATGTAATCCAGGCTGGACTTAAACTCACTGTGTAACCGAGAATATGAACTTCTGATCTTTCTGCCTCCACCTCCCAAGCACCACACCAGGTTTATGCAGTACTGGGGACTTTTCAAAATAAATAAACAAAAGGGATGAAAGGAATACCACTTATACAGCCAGTTGGGATCCAAGGGATTGACATTGATGAACTTTTTGCATCTGGAATCTGATATTTTCCTCTGTGCATACACCCCAACACAATCTATATTTAACTCTGTTATAAAGAAGTAAACCAAACTGACTACTGGACGCATAAGAAGTGAAAGATGATCACGATTTTTAGAACCCACAGTTTAAGATTTGGGTGGGTGTGTTTTCCTATACCACTGTGTTCTAATTAGTTTCAGTACACGGAAAAACTTAACCAGCAGACCTTTCTCCTCTGTTACTTACAAACTAATATATAAAACAAATGTCCATGTTGGATTGGTAATACGCCTCAGAATTAGAAGAAATCAGAAGAACATAACAGGCCAAAGAGCCACAAAAGCCTCCTGAGTTCGGTTTGGGAATGGGAGGCCTCCTTGAGCCTTGTAAGCCACGGTTGGCTTTAGCTTGTGGTGCTGCCATAGAAACGCTTCACGCTCTGGCTGCCCTGCTGTGAAAGGCCACCCTGAAATAACACTCGGTTGCGTATCATGGTGGTATTACAGGCACAGCAGTGTCTGAAGGATTTATCTGGTTCCTTACAAAACTGCTACTCAGGGACATCGATCAGTCCACAAAATGTTTCTCCAACTGCTTGATCAAATACGAGAGTTTTATATTTAAAAACATTCAGTAGCAACAAATTAATGGCTCTGCACACAGAATTCCTAACAGCTAAATCATTGAGTTGGTTCCACACGTCCGGGGTGGGGAGTGGTGGACACGGCCTGGGCACTTGGAAAGTTCCACAGATTGTGAAAGGTGGCCAAGGCTGAGAGGCCTTGTTGTGTTCTGAACTCCAAGTTCCCAGATTTGGGCTCTGGTATTTATCTCTAGGCCAACACTGCCTAACAGCGTAGTCAAGTTTTCTACAGACAGGTTAAGAAACTGCGTCGATTTTCCTTTGATGGAGAATGTTCTGTTTTCAGCCAAATCTACTTTTAAAAACACTTTGCCTTTTGTTATTAGATGCTTACAAACCTTTTAGCAAGAATTTTGTAAGCATAAAAGCCATGAGGAGCCGGGCGGTGGTGGCGCACGCCTTTAATCCCAGCACTCGGGAGGCAGAGGCAGGCGGATCTCTGTGAGTTCGAGGCCAGCCTGATCTACAAGAGCTAGTTCCAGGACAGGAACCAAAAGCTACGGAGAAACCCTGTCTTGAAAAATCAAAAAAAAAAAAAAAGCCATGAGGATAGCTGGATGGTGGTAGCACACGCCTTTATCCCAGTGTTCAGGAGGCAGAGGCAGAGGCAGAGGCAGGCAGACCTCTGTGAGTTTGAGGCAGCCTGGTCTACAGAGTGAGTTCCAGGACATCTAGGATGGTTACACAGAGAATCCTTGCCTCTAAAAACACAAACAAAAAACATAAGAAGAGACAGGTGGAGCTGGAGGAGAGAGCTCCGCATGGCCAGGGCTGACCTTATGAGCTATAACTAACTTCGAGTGGTTCATCTGAACTGAGGTACTATAAACATAAGAGACACCAGATTCTGAAGACTATAGAAAAAGCAAAAGCAATCCCAATAATAACATTTCCAAGGGGCTGGGCAGATAGTTCAGTAGGTAATGTGGTTGCTGTTCAGACCTAAGGACCCGTGTTTAGATCCCTAGCACCCAAGTGAAGGCTTGACATGGTGGCAGGCACCTGTGACCTCCACTCTGAGGACACTCTGGCTGAAAAACAACAAGCTTCAAACAGTTGAGAAGCCCTGTCTCAAAACACAAGGTGGAGAGTGATGGAGGGAGATACTGAATAGACCTTAGGCTCCCGCATGTACACATATGCATATAACATATGCATGCATATATAACACACATGCATATAACACATAAGCACACACAAATACAATTTTTTTATATTTTTATGGTTTATTTAACTTTATTTTATGTGCATTGGTGTGAAGGTGTCAGATCCCCTGCAACTGGATCTTCAGATAGTTGTGAAGCATCTGCCATGTGGGTGCTGGGAATTGAACCCAGGTCCTGTGGAAGAGCAGTCAGTGCTCTTAACCACCGAGCCATCTCTCCAGCACCCCTCCCCAAGAATACAAATTTTTAAAAGAATTATTTTAAAGTACTAACATCCTAGTATTGAGTACGTACTATCATGGCAATTTTTTGTTTGTTCGTTTTGTTTTGTTTTTGTTTTTCAGAACAGAGTTTCTCTGTGTAATAGCTTTAGTGGTCCTGGAACTAGCTCTGTAGACCAGGTGGACCTCAAACTCACAGAGATCTGCCTGCTTCTGCCTCCTGAGTGCTGGGATTAAAGGCGTGCGCCACCACTGCCCAGATATTATTATAATATTTTTAAGTCACTAGGTTAGATAAAATAACAATTTAAATTCATGTCACCTGTCACCTGTATCTTTAATTTTTAAAATGTATCTTATTTATTTCTTTATTTTTATTTCACGGGCATTGATGTTTTGCCTGCGTGTATGTCTGTGGGGGCGGGTCAGATCCCCTAGAACTGGAGTTACAGACAAGTATATTATACTGATGCTGGAAACTGAACCTGAGTTCTCTGGGAAAGAAGCCAGTGCTCCTAAGTGCTGTCTCCTGAGGGCGGGGTGGTAGTGGGGTGGTGGTGGTAGAGGTGTTAAAGGCATGTGGCCACAAACATGGCTTTCAGTACCTCTCACCATAGAGCATTGCCGACCTGTGTTTGTTAGAAATGTTTCATTATGAGAATTCCTGTGTGAAGTCTCAGTGAGCTTTAAAACAGAGCAAATCCTTCCATGAAAACAATGTTTTCCTAGACCAGGAAGATTTAAGAGATGCCATCGCCCTGCACCCTAGGCAACACTGCCAACAATAAGAACACTCCAGCATATTTCAAAGTCTTACTCACACCATGTAGCTTTGGGGTTTCTTTTCCATTGAGAGTTTCTCCAAGTAATGAGACAGATAGTACAAAAGCGCCATAAGGAAGCTGTCAAGGTTCTTATTTCTACAGGGAAATTAAGATAAAAGAAGAAATCAACACTCCCGACTGTAAACGTTAGGTTTCTTGTGAAAAACAATGGGGGACACAGTGTAAGAATAAATAGAAATACATGGGTCCAAACCTATCACGCAATTAACTTACTATTTAAAATTCTCCCCATTGTGATGAAGATGTAAAAAGCATCTGAAAAACACTTATTTCTGGGAAAGCTGATGCTAAATTATTAATGTATTATTAATAACTTTTTCACCTCACAAGTATTTGCTCTGTAAGTAATTTATTTGCATTGTTTGTGAAATATACAAGCTGAGCAGGGTGGTTCATATTTGTCGTGTCCCGTCCCGCTGCCCCGTGTCGTCGTCCCTCCCCCCGTCCCCACCCCCCCCACCCCCCGTCCCCCGCAATCAGGAGGATTTCAAGCTCCAATAACTGACAGAGAACACTTCTCCACAGCATAATCCTATCTCAAAACACAAGCAAAAGCACAGAAATACACGAAGCAAACGTTCTCCCCTTCTTTTGCAAACGTCTTGCTCCAGAAGGGGCCGCTTGTGGAATCACTGCCGTCCATATCAATTTGCTCTTACCCCTTGCTCTAGTACTTTGGAGCCCCTGTGACATGGGGCCCTGACCTCAGGTATCTCTCCCACACTCTCTAGTCTAGTCTCTGAGAGGATGGCTTGCACAGAGGCGCCATGTGCTCTTCTGGTAAGAACCAGATCTGTTTCCACTTATTAGGCCTGTTTCACTTATTTCCCCTTGGAAGAGGAAGGGGAAAGATGTATGTTGTTCCAGCTTTACCTCATAAACGTTGTAAAAGAGCAGACCCGCTGCATTTCAGTGTCTTGGAGGGAAAGCAATGCAACAACTGCAGAAAGAAGAAGGCAGTTAGTTAAGCAGAGAACGAGAGCGGAGCCCGTGGAGGCTGGAGGCTGCAGCATCTGGTCAAGCGGGAGGAAGAAAGTTGCTCACACTTGACGTCATCCAGCGTGATGTTGCCCAGCTGATACCGTTTCTCCAGGGCTTTCGCTGACTTTTCGTCCCTTGAGGCAAACCTTTTATCTGTCAACCTGTTTGGGAAGAGAACAGTCTCAGCTGGTGATTTTGCTGCTGTTGTTTTTAAGATGTGTTTTTGTTTTATTTGTATGGGGTGTTTTGCCTGTTGGGATGTCTGTCTGTATGCCACATTTGTGCGGTGCACAAGGAGGCCAGAAGAGGATGATGGCTCTCCCAAGCAGAATTACAGTCACTTGTGAGCCACCCTGTTGGTTCTGAGAGTCAAATCTGTGTCAAATCTTAGAGGAGGAGCGGCCAGTGCTCTCGACCTCTAAATCACTGCTCTATCCTCCCGAGAGTATTTGAAAAGATTTAGCTGTATCTAGTATATCCAGGGATGCACGAGGAATTTGCTTGTAAAGTAATGCGTGGATTGCATTTAATGCAGCACTATTTCACAATGCACTTTTGAGCATTGTTTTACTATAGGAGTAGAAGCATGCATAGTGATAGAAAGTGTAAATTCAAATAGATCATTTTTGTTGTTTTGTTGTTGTTCATTTATTTGTTTTTCCTTCAAGATAGGTTTCTCTGTGTAGCTCTGGCTGTTCTGGAACTCACTCGGTAGACCAGGCTGTCCTTCAAGGTCTCCCTACCTCTGCCTCCTGAGTGCTAGGATTGAAGGCGTGCGCCACCACTGCTCAGCTTTCAAATCATTTAAATGACTTAATGGACTGAGGATGTGGTTCAGTGATAGGATATCTGCTAGAACGTATGAGGCTTTTATCCCCAGCACTATGGATGGATGGATGGATGGATGGATGGATGGATGGATATGAATAAAATCTGATGTCATTAGTATTTTCAGATTAATAAAAACTGTAACAAGCTTGAAATGTACTAGTAGACTCATTTTCGGAGGAATAAACATTTAGTGGCCATTTAGAACTCCTGCTGTAGTTGAGGTACTGCCTGTGTTTCCCTTGATGGATATTGGCATGACAACCTAAGAAAACAGGACTGGTATCTCTTCGTGTTTGTAAAGACAAGCCAGTCCGTGGAGAGACGGCATGGGCGAGGTGGAGCCACCTTTCTGAAGCCGGACCATCCATCTCAGCGAAGTGAACTGCCTTCCCTTTCTTGCCTCGCTCCTTGAGCTCCACTGCAGGCGTGAAACTGCAACAAGAAGGGCTTGATTAGGGACTTGACCTTCTCCCAGCATTCTGTGGGGCCACAGCCCACGCAGTCTGAAGATTGGCATACATTAGCAGTGCTCAACTCAAGATGTATGTCCACACAGACCCACAATCAAGAGGAAGATCAGCTCCTCCGACGCACCTGCAGCTTTAGAAAGTCACCGCGCACAAAGCATTGCTGTCTGAACGTCTTGTCGTGACAAAGAGGAAGCTCATAAGTGTGGAAGGCTTTCTGAGTTTATTGGGTACTTGTGGCAGGCCAGGTACTTCTAAGCACTATCTCGTTTTCACTACAACTTTATGAGAAAAGCATTATTGCCATCCTTTTCCCACCTGAGAAGAAGTGAAGCTAAGAGGTTACATAGCAACTGGTAAAGCCAGAGCAGGCGCCATGTCCTCTAGGCACTGGGCAGCTCTGCCTCCCAAGCAGTCATCTCAGGGTCACTGCTCTGGAAGCTTTCAGCATTTGACTATATGTGGTGTGTGTGTGTGTGTGTGTGTGTGTGTGTGTGTGTGTGTGTGAGAGAGAGAGAGAGAGAGAGAGAGAGAGAGAGAGAGAGATCACATTGAGAAGAGGGACAAAGAGATCCAGGGTAGAGTCCTGAAGGGAAACCACAATTTGAATAGAAGGCCAAGGACACGCACAGATTAGCAGTCTCAGAGAGGTGTGGTCCTGTCCTCTAGTGTCCTCATTGGCTGGGCTTCAGTCTCCCAAGGTAAGGTAGTCTTAGAACTCAATAAAACCTCTTCCCTAGTGACAAGTTCCCCCAACCACATAATATGGGACTTCTAAAAGAGTAGTAAATCTAACAAACACAGACCATGGTAAACAAATACTTAGTGAGGCCCTACTGGATGCTAGGAATTCCCATGACTCCAAGTTCATGATAAAAATAAGATGGTATTTGAGTAGAGCCAACACATAGACTCTTGAGAACACAATGTCAAATACAACAGTTTGGTAGTTTACTGTAGGTTACAACTTACTTTTTTCACCCAATCAGAAGCTTCACCTCTGCCCAAAGTTATGTATCTTACTATTAAACTTAGGCATGTAGAAGCAGAAGCACTTTCTCCCAAGTCAGTCATTCTCTAAAAATGGAGACCATTTTTGTTTTATTTTTTAAAGATTTTCTTATTTATTATATATACAATATTCTGTCTGTGTGTATGCCTGCAGGCCAGACGAGGGCACCAGACCTCATTACTGATAGTTGTGAGCCACCATATGGTTACTGGGAATTGAACTCAGGACCCTTGGAAGAGCAGGCAATGCTCTTAACCACTGAGCCATCTCTCCAGCCCCAGATTTTTGTTTTATTTTGTTTTGGTTTGGGTTTTTGAAACAGGGTTTCTTTACATAGCTTTGACTGTTCTGGAACTAGCTCTGTAGACCAGGCTGGCCTTGAACTCACAAAGATCCTCCTCCCTTTGCCTTCCCAGTGCTGGGGTTAAAGGAATGTGCCACCACTCTCCAGATGACCAATTTTATAAACTCCCATTACCTCGTTTTCATATCTCACAAGGAATTTTTTTGAGAAAAGCTTCACTATGGAGGTGATAAAGTTAGCTTGGTACTTTCTTCCAGGTTTGCCAAGTTCCTGGCAATAGTCATATGTAAGAAAATGTTAGCTCCTAAAGGCTGGAGAGATGGCTCAGTGCCTAAGAGCACTGGCTGCTCTTCCAGAGGACCCAGGTTCACTTTCCAGTACCCACATGGCGGCTCACAACCATCTGTAAGTAGTTACCAGGGATCCGATGCCCCCTTCTGGCCTCTGTGGGCAACAGGCACATATGCAGGGCACAGACACACATATAGGCAAAAATAACTTTTTAAAGAGTTGTCTTTCAATAATAGGCTTAACGGTCATGCTTCCTTTTGAGAACCATGTGGGGAAGTTTACTGAAAACTTTTAATGTGTACACTAACAGAAAGATGAACTGATCAATTGTAATGTGTGAGCCTTATTTGAATTCTGATTGGAGCAAAATAAAATGTATCAGACACAAGGAGTCTGCTGAATGCCAACTGAATATTTGATATTAAGGCTTTATTTAAAAATTATTTTGAATTTACATTTTTGTGAATGGACTTTCTTGGCCTTTATTATGTCACATAATCTATCTTTATCTTTCAATATTTTTTTACTTCTGTGTGTGTGTGTGAGTGTGTGTGTGTGAGTGTGAACACACATATGACACGGCACATGTGTGAGGTCGGAGGACAACTTTTGGGAGTCAGTTCTCCCTTCCATCTTGTTTTTTTTTTTTTTTTGATGTTGTTCGCATTTTGAGACAGGGTTACCCGATTTGATCATTACACTGAAACTCCTTCCCACCTCTTTCTCCCCGGAGCTGGGTTTACTGACATCTACCACTCTGCCCAGTTGTATGCTGGAGACTGAACCCAGGGATGTGTGTATGTGAGGTGAGCACTCTACCAACTGAACCACGTTTCAAGCTCCACAACCTACACTTGAAGTCATAGCAATCAGTGTTCTCCAAAATCAGTGTCAGTGCAATCCAGCCATATATTCAGGACAATTTGGCAGCAAGCTGATAAAAACTTGGACTCATCTGGCCTCCATGGGCACCTCACACACATACAAACAATTAAAAGTAGCACTCAGGAGATGGAGGCAGATAGATCTCTGAGTTTGAGGCCAACCTGGTTTACGCAGAGTTCCAGGACAGCCAAGGCTACGCACAAAGAAACCCTGTCTTGAAAAAAAAAAAAAAGAAAGGCAAAGCTTAAAACCTTTAGTTTATTAACATATTTCATGAATTTCATGAATATGAAAAAATAAACCTTACTTTAAACTATTTAGTAATCTTAACTATTAAACTTTGACTTTTAAACTTACCAGTCATTTTAACTGAAATATTATGTGATTAACACTAAAACATAGTTTGAAAAGTACAGCCAATTAGCCTCACTTATAGAAATTCAGTTCATGGAAACCATGGTCACACTAGTCTTCAGTATCGGGGCTGGCACCTTAGATTCTGCCTACGTCCTCTTGTGTTGTAACTTTTTGGCCTCCTGCACTAGCCTGTCTAACCCCCAAGCGTTCTCAACACCTAGCTCACACTCACTGAGGATGATGCTGCAGGAGCTACTGGCCAGGATCGTTGTGACGTCTCAGTAGAGACAAACAAGCAGGAGTGAAAGGACTGCTTTGGAGATGCTGAAATAAGTGTATTCTATAGAAAGTAAATGCTTGCTGGGATGTAGCCTAGCGGAAGATGCTTGCTGGCATGTGCAAAGCCCTGGGCTCACGCTCCGGTACTGTAAGACAAAAATAAAATAGAAACTGATGATTTTTCACTCTAACATGGTATTTGAATTATCTGACAATACCTCTAATGCCTTTATAGTTCTATAATTTTAAGTACAAACTGCATGTTTTAGACAACTCTTTTTCCTGACCTCCAGCCTCATCTGTACACCAACAAAACATGTTTTCGTGGGAGCCTGTCATAGCAACCATAAACACGCACTGTTTTCCTCTGTATGTGGGGGAATGGCAACGCGAGCCACTCAGCTGCCTGGAGAGCAACCTAGCTGCTAACTCCTCCTTCTCCCTTCATATTTGGGTATTACAGCCCATCAATTCTATCCACACAGCCATTTTGATGTCTTCACCCCGCTCTGCATGTATCTGCATAGTTAGTCCTGACTCCGACTCTCCCCACTTCTGCCCCGGTCTACCACCCCTCCCCGGCACTGCCCTTTTATTTGGTCCTCAGTAAACAGCTGGGTAACTGGACATGCTCCATAAACATTTGTTAAATACTTATTTTGTTGGCTGGGCGGTGGTGGCGCATACCTTTAATCCCAGACGCTGAGGCAGGCAGATTTCTGTGAGTTCCAAGACAGCCAGGGCTACACACACCAAAAGAAAAAAAAAGAGGGGGCTGGAGAGATGGCTCAGTGGTTAAGAGCATTGCCTGCTCTTCCAAAGGTCCTGAGTTCAATTCCCAGCAACCACATGGTGGCTCACAACCATCTGTAATGGGGTCTGGTGCCCTCTTCTGGCCTGCAGGAATACACACAGACAGAATATTGTATACATAATAAGTAAATAAATAATTTTAAAAGAAAGAAAGAAAGAAAGAAAAGAAAAAGAAGACAAAGTCATTAAAGGCTACTCAGTAAAATCATTTTCAGATAGTGGGATTTAATTTTAGTTTTTAGATTTCTCTGTATGACTTATTATTGCCCCCCTGCACATGTAATTGACATAGAAATACCTTAAAAAATTTTTTTGTTAAACTTTACCTTCTACACAGAGACAGAGACCCACACGGGAGCACCGGACAGAAATCTCAAGGTCCAAATCAGGAGCAGAAGGAGACGGAGCACGAGCAAGGAACTCAGGACCACGAGGGGTGCACCCACACACTAAGACAATGGGGATGTTCTATTGGGATCTCACCAAGGCCAGCTGGCCTAGGTCTGAAAAAGCATGGGATAAATCCGGACTAGCTGAACATAGCGGACAATGAGGAATACTGAGAATTCAAGAACAATTGCAGTGGGTTTTTGATCCTACTGCACGTACTGGCTGTGTGGGAGCCTAGGCAGTTTGGATGCTCACCTTACGAGACCTGGATAGAGGTGGGCAGTCCTTGGGCTTCCCACAGGTCAGGGAACCCTGATTGCTCTTCGAGCAGATGAGGGGGGGGGGGACTTAATCGGGGGAGGGGGAGGGAAATGGGAAGCGGTTGTGGGGACGAGGCAGAAATCCTTAATAAATAAATAAATTTAAAAAATAAAAAAAAAGAAAATAAAAAAAAAAAACTTTACCTTCTAAATTCCAGAGTTTTGGTTTCATCTTTCCAGTACCACATTCCTAATCGTAGTCCACATTGCTGTAAAATGAAATGATTGCATCAGACAGAACTGAAACTCACGTTACAACCCACATGTCCCCATAAACCCTCACTATTTTCTGCCAGACCCTGATTGTTAATTCTACAGAATTAATGTCATTATGTAATTGAAGATGAACTTGAGTTTCTTTTTTCTTTTCTTTTCCTTCCCCCCCCCCCCCCCAGACAGGATTTTTCAGAGTAACAGCTCTGGCTGTCCAGGAATTCGATCTGTAGACCAGGCTGTCTTTGAACTTACAGAGATCTCCCTGTCTCTGCTAGGATTAATGGCCTGAACCTCCACAACCAGGTGAACCTTGAGTTTCTGATCCCTGTCTCTACTTCACTGGGATTACAGGCATGTGCTATAATATCTGTTTTATGTGATGCTGGGAGATTTGTATCCAAATCAGCGGTGGGTGTACACTAGGCAAGCTCTCAACCAACTAAGCCAATCCAGTCTTTGTTTGTTTCATTTTGTGTGTGTGGATATTTTGCTTATGTGTTTATGTGTATACTCCCTGTATGTGATACTGGAAGCGGTCATGAGAGGGCATCGGATCTCCTGGAGTTGAGTCGATTTGTCGGTGCTGGGGTTTGAACCTGGTTCTTTTGGAAGAGCAGCCAGTGCTGAGCCATCCCTTCATTGTTTAGTGTTTTGACTTGATTTCATTCTTTTCGTTTCAATAAGGAAAGGGAGCGAGGATGAAGGAAGGAAGGAGAGCAAGGATGAAAAAAGTGAAAGTAGGGGAACAGGGAAGGGGAAGATAGGAAGGGGAAAGGAGGAAAGCAATTTAGCTCAAGGCTAGTCACAGCTATTCAGAGGAAGCCATACAGCAACCTTTAATTTAGACCTTTAAGTTAAATTCCCATTGGAAAAAAAAAAAAAAGTCAGCCAGGCTGCGGTGGTGGTGCGCACCTTTACTCCCTGCACTTAGGATCCCTGAGTTCGAGGCCAGCCTGGTCTACAGCGTGAGTTCCAGGACATCCATGGCTACACAGAGAAACGGTGTCGTGAGGCGGGGTGATGGGGAGAAAACGGGGGGTGGGGAGCAGTAGGCTGTAAAGTTGTCCCTGACCTACAGGGACAGACTTTCACACAGTAATTGGGGACAAACACCAGTCTTTCCCCTCCCTGGGTCCAGAGCAGGCCTGCTTCTCCTGCAGTAGGACTACCTATCTCACAACATGATAGAGAGGAGTGGGCTTTCATCATTCTCTACACATCTGCGTGGGGCGCCAGACAGAATTCAGTTCCGACAGCACACCCCTCTGTTTCTCTATCTGGAGGCAAATATGCCCCACTGCTCTTGAGAACAGTGGGCGCAAGTGGAAGGCCACGATCCGCCTGTGGACGAGCCGAGCGCGGAGCACAGGACCAGGACAAACGCCGCCCCGGCCTCCCCATTGAATCCCGCTGGGCTCCCACTGTACGGTGCCGGCTACACCGGCAGACGATGTAGCGGGTCTCGGTCAGCACTGCCTTCCTGTCACCGGCCCCAAGAAAGTGCGACCAGGCTGCACTTACGTCCAGTCGGGTGGAGGATTGCCCGTCGAACTGCTTCCTCCTAGAGTAAAACTCCGGCACGGAGAGCATGGTCTCACCCTGAGCAGCACACCGTGGTTGCCTGGGGTCGCCTGGGATACGGCCACGCCGCGGCCCGGCTGGCACCCGAGGGGCGGGGCTTCCGCCTGACGGAGGACCTGGAGAGCTCTCCCCCACCCCCCTCCCACCTATCCTCCACCCCTAGCTCGGGTCCGTCCAGGACTTGACACTGCGGTGCCCCCATGAAATTATCACCCCATGCTCTAATTGGATTAACTGGGTACAGCCCTATAGTAAAGACCTGTTCCAAACTGCCATGGCTAGCGCAATGGAATTGAAACACTGTTGGACTTGGGTTGATGTGGAGGGTTTGTTTAGTGGAAGAGACTATGGTTACGGAAATAAAACTGTCTGAACAGTTTCTTTGTTAACTAGTGAAACCTGGTTTTAACGTACTTCTGAAAATATCCAAGTCAAAAGTTACAGAAATTTTTGAGTGCATGGGCATGTGTGTGTATGTGTGTGTGTGTAAGTTAGGGTTATGCCTGCTGTGATGAAAGGCCATGACCAAAGCAAATTGGGGAGAAAAGGGCTTATTCATCTTACACTTCCACTTCACAATTCATTAGAGAAAAGCTAAGACAGGAACTCCAGCAGGGCTGGAACCTGGAGGCAGAAACTAATGCTGAGGCCATGGAGGGGGGTGCTGCTTACTGGCTTGTGCCTCATGGCTTGCTCAGTCTGTTTTCTTATAGAACCCAGGGCCACCAGCCCAGGGATGGCCCCACTCACAATGGATTGGGCCCTCCTCCATCAAACCCTGATTAAGAACATGCCCTGCAGGCTTGCCTATAGCCCAATCTTTTTTTTTTAATATTTATTTATTATGTATACAATATTCTGTTTGTGTGTATGCCTGCAGGCCAGAAGAGGGCACCAGACCTCATTACAGATGGGTGTGAGCTACCATGTGGTTGCTGGGAATTGAACTCAGGACCTTTGGAAGAGCAGGTAATGCTCTTAACCTCTGAGCCATCTCTCCAGCCCCCTACAGCCCAATCTTAGGGAGGCATTTTCTCAACTGAGTCTCTTCTCTGATGACTCTAGCTTGGGCCACATTCACATAAAAACCAACAGGACAAGCCAGGCGGTGGTGGCACACACCCAGCACTCAGACGGCAGAGGCGGGTGGATCTCAGTGAGTTTGAAGCCAACCTGGTCTACGAGGCAAGTTCCTGGGCAACCTGAGCAGTCTCTGTTACATAGAGAGACCCTGTCTTGAAAAAAACCAAAACAAAAACTAAAACCTAGCCAGTACAGTGTGCAAAGCATTAGCCTTAATGAGTACTCAAAATCAATGTTGCTCAGAACAAAAGCAGGAACTTGTTCAGTGTTGGTGGGTATTCAAGTGAGCTTGTGTTCACTTCCGGCCACGAACCTTGTTCCTTCTCTTCACAGTTGAACTGATAGGCAGACTTGGGTTATTTCCCCCTCTGATATAAGCAATGCTGGATGAAGAGGCGGGCGACTAGGAATGTCTAATGAGTCTGCTTCTGAATTCCCACAGCTGAACTGGTAGGAGCTGCGCAGTAAACAGCCGAGAATACCTGCCCATAAACTTTACGGTTATAGCAGCCTGCATGTTGATGCCTGCTGCCCTGGTCTCCCAGGCTCCCAGTCACTGGGTATGGTGGTCTAAAGCTGCAATCAATAAATCCCTGCCCTGTTCACTGGAGTCAGTTCTACCCATTGCTCAAGCTGAGTTCACTGCATGGAGATCCACCTGTACACTTCCAGTACTAGTCTGAAGCGAAGGGCCAAGCAGGCTTAGTTACTACTGAAAGGGAAAGAGTATAATATCCCAGATGCCAAGAATTATTTAACAGCTACTATCTACAACTTGGAGGGGAGTGAACCAGGAGAAAATGAGATAAAGTTCCAGAAAAAAACCAAGACCAAGGAATCTAGTTATTTCACAACCAGGGGAGAAGGTAAGAATAACCCTCTTCAGATAGCCCTCTGAATGCTTTAAGTGCTAAGAGAACACCAAAGGGTTTTGTAGACCTCACCCTTTCTAACTAAACTAAGGTAAAAAAAAAAAAGTTTCTGAGAAATTAAAACGTTATTTAAAATTACCATGTGTAGCCTGGCATGGTAGTGCACGCCTGTAATCCCGGCACTCTGGAGGTGAGGTGGAGGCCAGCCTGGAACCCACATGGTGGAAGCGAGAGCTGACCCCAGAAAGTCACCCCCACTATCCATATATATAGGGAAGCACGGACCTACACAAACACACACACACACACACACACACACACACACACACACAATATGAAAGGAGCAAACTTTTTAAAGTTCAGACTGTTATAAAATAGAAATATAGAGTTACCTTCTAATACTTAATACTCCTAAGTATCCTAAGAGAGAAAGAGTTGTTTGGGCCTAATCAAGAGAAACTCCTAGCTGGGTGTGGATGGCACACGCCTTTAATCCCAGCCCTCAGAAAACAGAGGCAGGCGGATCTCTGTGAGTTCGAGGCTAGTCTGGTCTGCAGGTCAACAGAGTTTCAGGACAGGCTACAAAGTTATGAGAAACCCTATTTCAGAAGGAAAAAAAAAGACAGAAACTCCTTAAAATCTTATTGAAACTGAGGAGCAGGGCTTGATGAGATGGGTAAGAGGTTAAGGCCATTCTTGCAGACGACCTGGGTTTGGTTCCCAGCACCCACATGATGGCTTAAGCTTATAACCCTGTCTCTAGTTTCAGGGATCAAACTTCCTCTTCTGGCTTCCAAGAGCAGCAGTTACACACATGATGTACATACATATATGCATACACAGCACTCATAATACATATTTTTAATTCAAAAAAGCAATTAAGAACATGTAACAGAAAGCAAAGTTTCTGGTCTCAGAATTTTAGACCTGTATATAAACACATCCTTGTGTTGGGCATGGTGGCACATGCCTTCAGTCCCACCCCTAAAGAGACAGAGGCAGGCAGATCTCTGTGAATTCCAGGTCAACCTGGTCTACATCATGAGTTCCAGGACAGTCAGGGCTATGTAGAGACACTGACTCAAAAAAAAATTATATGCTTATTTAGTGAAAAGGTCACAAAGATATATATGCAATGCCGTAATTCTGCTCATGAAAAAAAAAAAAAAAGAACAATGCTTGAGATGATCATGGCAGTGCGTGCCTGTGATTCCACCATTGGAGGTACTGGGGCAGGAAGACCGGGAGTTCAAAGTCTGCCTGGGCTACATATCAAGCTAGACTTAAGAACAAAACGTTTGTGATGCCAAATATTGAATGAACATTTTTATTTGACTAACCTCCAGTTTACAACCAAGCTTCTCCACCATGACAGCGGGAAAGCAGCGTCCATGGTATCTTGATTGGTTCTGAAGAAAAAGACATTTTAAAACTGAGTACTGTCCCACTAGACCAGAAATGCATATGTTCTGGAAATATTTACATTCCAAGAGTCATACCAAGAATAAAACTGGCTGGGCAGTGGTGGTGCAGGCCTTTACTTCACTGGGAGTAAAGGAGGCAGAAGCAGGCAGATCTCTCTTGTGAGTTTTAGGCCAGCCTGGTCTATACAGTGAGTTCCCGAATGGTCAAGACCACACAGAGAAACTCTGTCTCAAAAACAAAACCAAAGGGGCTGGAGAGATGGCTCAGAGGTTAAGAGCATTGCCTGCTCTTCCAAAGGTCCTGAGTTAAATTCCCAGCAACCACATGGCGGCTCACAACCATCTGTAATGGGGTCTGGTGCCCTCTTCTGGCCTGCAGACATACACACAGACAGAATATTGTATACATATTTATAAAAAAAAAAAACACCAAACAAAAAAAGAGAACAAAACTGGATTCTTTGAGTGACCTGTAATTTTCACTCAGGAATGAAACTTTGTATATGGCTTCTAATGGAGAGTGTTTGTTCATGCCTATTTATACATTAAGCATACAGGCGCAATTGAGCATTCCCATACTTCGTTTTAAAGATTCCTTTTTATTATTTCAATCGTGTGTGTGTGTGTGTGTGTTATATGCACATGAATACAAGGGCCCTTTGAGGTCAAAGGTCTCAGATACCCTGGAGCTGAGGTTACAAGCCCTTGTAATCTACCTGATGTGGGTGCTGGAAATTGAACTCAGCTCCTCAGGAAGGGCAGTATGTGCTCTTAACTACTGAGCCATCTCCCCAGAAACTTCTTTTGTTTTATTTTGCATTTGTTTCTTGAGACAGGATTTCTCTGTGTAGCCCTAGCTGTCCTGGAACTCTGTAGACCAGGCTGGCCTCGAACTCACAGAGATCCAGCTGCCTTTGCCTTACAAGTGCTGGGATTAAAGGCGTGCGCCACCAGTGCCCAGCTACCCCTTACTCTTCTTTATCCTATCATACATATTCCCTTAGCAGGTCTTGACATATGGTTATGAGTTTAAATCTTTACTCATATTCGTTTATGTGTCCATGTGTGTCTGTGTGTGTTTGTGTGTCCGTGTGTGTTATAATAAACAGGTGGAGTACCAAGGACAACTTGTGGGAGTTTGTTCTTTCCCATGATGCAGGGCCTGATCATGAGGGTGGAACTCAGGCACTCAGGGTTGGTTTGTTTTTAAGTTCCAGGATCGAAATGCAAGAGAAATATGCTTTGCAACACAACTTCTACAACCTACAATTTTAAGTGGGAATGTCTTATGTGCCTGTCCACTCAGTTTCATAAAAGATCTTTTTATTTCATCCAGATACTCAGATTGTATTCCTGCTTAAGATGTAAGGTTGAAAGCTATGGGGCTGAGGGTGTAGCTTGGTTGTAGAGTGCTTGCCTAGCATGCACAAAGCCCTGGTTAAAAAAAAAAGTGGGGGACTAGAGTGATGGCTCAGTGGGTAAGGGTGCTGACTGAGGAGCCTGAGTCCCATCCCTAGGACTCCTGGGGTGGGAGGAACTCTCTCTCCAGTTGTCTTCTGCCCTCCACATGTGCACCACAGCAGGAATGCAAACACACATGCACATAACACAACTGTCATTTTG